TACTGAATTCTTATTAACATTTAGTTTCAAGTACACATGCTAGAAGGTATTTACTGAATACATACTAACTTTTAGTTTCAAGTACACATGCTAGAAGGTATTTACTGAATTCTTACTAACATTTAGTTTCAAATACACATGCTAGAAGTTATTTACTGGATTTCTACTAACATTTAGTTTCAAGTACACATGCTAGAAGGTATTTACTGAATTCTTATTAACATTTAGTTTCAAATACACATGCAAGAAGGTATTTACTGAATACTTACACCATTACTGTCTACATATATATATATATTATTTAAGCCAGTTTGTACCCCTCATGGTTTTGATGTATAATAACAAAGACAGCAATACAGCTGTATAAACTTTTTAACAAATCTTTAACCTTTTCTGACTGATTCCTTTTCTTAAACTGGTATATTTTGGTAATTGAATTCTTTGATTGTCAGATGTCTTCTTAAAACAAAACGTTATCTAATTACAGTAGATTAGTTTAAACCAGAGTTAAGTGTAACATGTAAAATAACATTTTAAAGTTTGTAGATGGCTCGAATGGGTTGTGAAAGAAACCTTACTACAAGTGTACAGCCTTTCATCATCATGTGCTGATGTTGAAATGTTGTATGTTTTGTTGTTACTAGTAACATTAATTGTAACATTTAAAATAACATTTTGTTGTTGCTGCTAGCAATGTTAAGTTAAATGCATAAAATAACATTTTGTTTTGTTGCTAACAATGTTAAGTGTAATATTTAAGTTTAAAGAAGGTTAAATAAATATTTAAGTTTAAAGTTTGAATTAGTTTTAATACTTAAAATTTTGTTGCAAAATGCTTTGAGATGTATTTTTAGTATGTAACAGGTCTAATTTTGTACAACTAGGAATTTACTACGTAACAGTGGGTTGTTCAGGATTTTCTAGTCAACAAGGACCTCTCCCAGCATTTGGAAAACCTCTTGGAAAACTTAATTACTCAGACTGGGAAACCTCTGTAGAGAAAGCCATAAGGACTTTCAGTAAGAAACTATTTGAATATTTAATGTTGTTTGCAATAAGAATGCTAGTTCGTATCCAAAGAATTTTTTGAAATTAATATTGTTAATCTGAGTATGACCTTATATTTATGTTTCTCTAAGTTGTTTACTTTGAGAATGGAAGATTTTATGACAAACAAAATATTATATAAGAAAAATAATACTTTATTACTCTGTCACCTATGGGGTCCTGTTGCTTGTTGGAAACTCATGAAATAAAAAAGATGTTAAGTCAGATTAACAAGTCCTGAATCTAGTACTCTGTGGTGTCAAGTCAGATTAATAAGTCCTGAATCTAGTAACCTGTGGTGTCAAGTCAGATTAATAAGTCCTGAATCTAGTAACCTGTGGTGTCAAGTCAGATTAACAAGTCCTGACTTTAGTACTCTGTGGTGTCAAGTCAGATTAACAAGTCCTGAATCTAGTACTCTGTAGTGTCAAGTCAGATTAACAAGTCCTGAATCTAGTACTCTGTGGTGTCAAGTCAGATTAACAAGTCCTGAATCTAGTACTCTGTGGTGTCAAGTCAGATTAACAAGTTCTGAATCTGTCCACTCTTTCATGGGACAGTTATATTGTGTTCTTGTGTGTGTGGTGTGTGACTGAGTCTGTCCACTGTTCCATGGGAACATTGTATTGTGACCTTGTGTGTGTGGTGTGTGACTGAGTCTGTCCACTGTTCCATGGGACAGTTATATTGTGTTCTTGTGTGTATGTGTGAATGAGTCTGTCTACTGTTCCATGGGACAGTTATATTGTGTTCTTGTGTGTGTGTGTGACTGAGTCTGTCTACTGTTCCGTGGGACAGTTATATTGTGTTCTTGTGTGTGCGTGTGTGTGTGTGACTGAGTCTGTCTACTGTTCCATGGGACAGTTATATTGTGTTCTTGTGTGTGTGTGACTGAGTCTGTCTACTGTTCCATGGGACAGTTATATTTTGTTCTTGTGTGTGTGACTGAGTCTGTCTACTGTTCCATGGGACAGTTATATTTTGTTCTTGTGTATGTGACTGAGTCTGTCTACTGTTCCATGGGACAGTTATATTGTGTTCTTGTGTGTGTTACTGAGTCTGTCTACTGTTCCATGGGACAGTTATATTGTGTTCTTGTGTGTGACTGAGTCTTTCCACTGTTCCATGGGACAGTTATATTGTGTTCTTGTGTGTGACTGAGTCTTTCCACTGTTCCATGGGACAGTTATATTGTGTTCTTGTGTGTGACTGAGTCTTTCCACTGTTCCATGGGACAGTTATATTGTGTTCTTGTGTGTGTGACTGAGTCTTTCCACTGTTCCATGGGACAGTTATATTGTGTTCTTGTGTGTGTGACTGAGTCTGTCTACTGTTCCATGGGACAGTTATATTGTGTTCTTGTGTGTGTGACTGAGTCTGTCTACTGTTCCATTCTTGTGCTTGTAAATTATATGTCTATTTGACATTGTGTCTTTTTTCTTTTCTATACCTGTATATCCCAGTGAAAGAACTGTTAGCCTCACGTTGTTGTTTTGGACAGGAAACATTCAGTTAGTTACTGACCGGTTAGCAAAAGTAGCTGACTAAAAACATGTTTTTTAAAGAGTTGACTCATGTTATAGGGTCAGTATCAGCTGGAAATTCAAAAAGAAACCATAAAAGGTTCTTTAGATTAACTTAGTGGAAAAAATATGGAGAGAAACATAGCCTGATTTATCATAACTTGTACAAGATAAAAAGTTTTTTACTAAGAACACTCTTTTAACGTAGGTATTTAAATATGAGTTATAGTGTAATGTTATTGTTTATGTACAACTGAATTGAAAAGAGTGTGATGTAAAGCTGAGTTAGAGCCAGATTTCTAGTTTTTCTCTATTGTTTTTATACTAGTAAGTGAAGAAGTCTGAAATGATTATAAAATATTAATTGAAGTAATATGCTTTTAGTAGAATATTTGTATACAGAAAATTTAGAAATTAAAGTTTAATTTTTGTCTCGTAAATTGATACTTATTCTTTCTTTTAATCTCTAACCATGAAGTGAATATACACACAGAATTATTGAAAAGTGGTTTGAAATCTAAAAATATAAATTTAAATATGATGATCTTGTTTCTGTGAAAATATATATGAGGTGGAGTGTTAATCATTAATCACAAGTGGCTTAAGGTCTTTTTGTGGTGGTTTATTTGAAAATACTTTCTAGATTATTTTATCTTTTAGGTCATGAAGTTCAGGACGTAAATGTCGTAGTGTTTCGAGAAGTGCTTGACCAAATTGCCAAGGTTGACCGAGTACTTACATCTCCTGGAGGGTCACTTCTATTGGCAGGTGTCAGTGGTGTGGGCCGAAGACTTGCCGCTTCAGTTGTTGCCCACATGCATCAAGCAACTTTGTTTTCTCCCAAAATTAGTCGTAATTATGGTGTTAAACAGTTCAAGAATGACTTAAAGTCAGTAAGTGCTTGATAGGAAATATAGCATGATGTTGGTTTCGTACTAATGGTTTTAAAAACTGCATCAAGATTTCACATGATAAAGTAATCACTCAGTTTCCTAGTGATTTATTTTTGAAAAAAACTTTAAAAATTCATGATTTAATTTTATTTTGAAAACATAATCTTTTTAATTATGACCATCATAGTTTAGGTGGTTCATCTATAGGAATATGTTATAAGGAACAGGTAGATAATGTCTTAAACACAGAGCACAATTTAAGGTAGTTCATCTATATGTTGGAGCAAAGAAATTAGAATATATTATAAGGAACAGGTAGATAATGTCTTAAACACAGAGCACAATTTAAGGTAGTTCGTCTATATGTTGGAGCAAAGAAATTAGAATATGTTATCAGGAACAGGTAGATAATGTTTAAAAACACAGAGCACAATTTAAGGTAGTTCATCTATATGTTGGAACAAAGAAATTAGAATATGTTATAAGGAACAGGTAGATAATGTCTTTAACATAGAGCACAATTTAATATGAAACTCAGACAATAAAATTAATTTTGACCAGTTGAGATTCCATTTTTTCTGTGCCTTTTGTAATAATTGTCTATATGTTCAGAGTTGCTACTAAATAAGAACAAAGGAACTTAGAAACTGCAGTTTGGGTTTCTTATATGTTCAGTGGTTTTCATTCAGTGTTTCTGACGTCATAACATTTTTTATAATTTTAGGGTAAAGTTGTGAAAGCAACAAATTATTTACAAAAAGTTAGTTACATAACATATTTTTACAGATTAGTATAAAACTGATAGGCATGTAAATGAATCTTATGTATTTATTATATGATTTATGTTTATGTAAAGTTTCTTTAAAGCCAGAGATGATGTTTGCATTAAATATCCCATTTTTAATTATATCTTGCTAGGAGATTTCTTTTAAAAAGAGCAAGTATTCTAATTAAAAGTGACAACATTGACCAAATTACTGTTAATAGCAACAAAACCAGTGTTGAAGAATTTTAATGCATCCAGTTCATGATATTGACATTTGTTTCTTTGTTTTACTGAGATTTATCAAGTAATACTAATTTACTTAGAGAATAAATATAAAATCCAGTGTTCTTGACATTTGTTTTTTTGTTTTACTCAAGTTTATCAAGTAATACTAATTTACTTAGAGAACAAATATAAAAACTTGTGCTTAACTCATCTGTCCTGTTATCATCTATTTATAGAACAGATATAAAACAAAAACTTTGTTTAACTCATCTGTCCTGTTATCATCTAATTATAGAACAGATATAAAACAAAAACTTTGTTTAACTCATCTGTCCTGTTAACATCTAATTATAGAACAGATATAAAACAAAAACAGATAAGAAATTTAAACGTTTGCTTAGTTCAGCTTTCCTATTAACAAAATGATTTCCAATATTTATGGAATGGTGTACTTACAGTACCGATCTTCTATGAACAGCTGTTTCAGGTGGCTGGTATTGATGGTCACCAAGTCGTGATGATTTTGGAAGATCACCATTTGATAGACTCCCAGTTTCTAGAGCTGGTGAATAGTATATTAGCTGCTGGAGAAATCCCTGGACTCTATGCTCCTGAAGAAATGGAACCTCTCCTGGGTCCTCTGAGAGACAAATCTTCACAAGAAGGATTCCGTGGATCCATATACAGTTATTTCGCAAAGCGTAAGTTTTAAAAACAATCTATAAAGGCATTGCACAATTTTCAATAACAAGTACATAATAATTGTTTGTAACATTAGGAAGTTCTTATATCTTAAATAAAGCTGCATCTTAAACCTCAAATTACTGACTTGTTTGTAGACTGGTCATTGTTTGGTTACTAAACATCCTTTATTTTATATGATGCCACTGACAGTAGAATCCCTGCTGATGAGAATTTCACATTCTGTTTCTATATAATAATTAAATTAATCATGATTATCTGTCTAATACTGCAAGTAATCATTATATCTGTCCTGCATCTGTCTAATACTGCAAGTAATCATTATTATCTGTCCTGCATCTGTCTAATACTGCAAGTAATCATTATTATCTGTCCTGCATCTGTCTAATACTGCAATTAATCATTATCATCTGTCCTGCATCTGTCTAATACTGCAATTAATCATTATCATCTGTCCTGCATCTGTCTAATACTGCAATTAATCATTATCATCTGTCCTGCATCTGTCTAATACTGCAATTAATCATTATTATCTGTCCCGCATCTGTCTAATACTGCAAGTAATCATTATTATCTGTCCTACATCTGTCTAATACTGCAATTAATCATTATTATCTGTCCTGCATCTGTCTAATACTGCAAGTAATCATTATTATCTGTCCTGCATCTGTCTAATACTGCAAGTAATCATTATCATCTGTCCTGCATCTGTCTAATACTGCAAGTAATCATTATTATCTGTCCTGCATCTGTCTAATACTGCAAGTAATCATTATTATCTGTCCTACATCTGTCTAATACTGCAAGTAATCATTATCATCTGTCCTGCATCTGTCTAATACTGCAAGTAATCATTATTATCTATGCTCCATCTGTCTAATACTGCAAGTAATCATTATCATCTATTCTGCTTCTCTCTAATACTGCCATTAATTATTGTTATTATCTGTCCTGCTTCTGTGTAATACTTTGGTTTATCATTACTCTCTGTCCTGCTTCTGTGTAATACTTTGGTTTATCATTATTATCTGTCCTGCTTCTGTGTAATACTTTGGTTTATCATTATTATCCGTACTACTTCTTTGTAATACTTTGGTTTATCATTACTGTATGTCCTACTTCTATGTAATACTTTGGTTTATCATCACTGTATGTCCCTCTTTTGTGTAATACTTTGGTTTATCATTACTGTATGTCCTGCTTTTGTGTAATACTTTGGTTTATCATTACTGTATGTCCTGCTTTTGTGTAATACTTTGGTTTATCATCACTGTATGTCCCGCTTTTGTGTAATACTTTGGTTTATCATTATTATCTGTCCTGCTTCTGTGTATTACTTTGGTTTATCATGTACATCATAGAAATTCTTTTCATGTCCCATTATGATCTTTCTCACTCACTATTGGCCAAACAAACTTTGTATGTCGTGGATTGGGGACTTTGAAAATGGGGAATTACATACTTATTTTAGCAATACTTGACTTGAACATTTTAACATAGGTAACGGTATTCAAGTATAATGGAGAAAATAATAAATGTTGGCACATTATTCAACTGTCTTGTATCTTTCGGCAGGAAAAACTGTTTGAATTAGTGTATGGCTGTTTTTGTAATTTTATTATCATCTTATAAGTTTTAAAAATATAACATGTCATAAAATATTTGATATTCTTTTCTTCATTCATTAGGCGGTTAAAGAAATTTGAACATTTTGTAAGTTGCACAAATTAATGATGAATATTTAGAGGAACAGACACATTATTTTTATTTCTTTCAGGGGTACAGCAAAACATTCATATTGTCCTTGTGATGAACTTTTCCGATCCAACTTTTACTGTTAACTGTGAAAGTAATCCATCATTCTACAAGTGTTGCAGTGTTCAGTGGTGGAGAGGGTGGAGTAGAGACAGTATGAGACAGGTATTATAAAAAAGTGTGTGTGCAGATTTCTTTTAAACATCAAAGACTCGAAATGTTATGAATTTTTTTGGCGATTCTTTTACAGATGGTACAAATGATTTTTGGAGTTGAAGCTTTTAATCAAACTAGGATAGTTCTTACATTCCTTTTATCATGAAGTTGATATAAAGTCTACACATAACATCATTACAGAAATAAAATAGTTCTTACATTCCTTTTATTATAAAGTTGATATAAAGTCTACACATAACATCATTACAGAAATAAAATAGTTCTTACATTCCTTTTATTATGAAATTGATATAAAGTCTACACATAACATCATTACAGAAATAAAATAGTTCTACATTCCTTTTATTATGAAGTTGATATAAAGTCTACACATAACATCATTACAGAAGTAAATTAGTTATTACATTCCTTTTATTATGAAATTGATATAAAGTATACACATAACATCATTACAGAAATAAAATAGTCATTACATTCCTTTTATTATAAAGTTGATATAAAGTCTACACATAACATCATTACAGAAATAAAATAGTTCTTACATTCCTTTTATTATAAAGTTGATATAAAGTCTACACATAACATCATTACAGAAATAAAATAGTTCTTACATTCCTTTTATTATGAAGTTGATATAAAGTCTACACATAACATCATTACAGAAATAAAATAGTTCTTACATTCGTTTTATTATAAAGTTGATATAAAGTCTACACATAACATCATTATAGAAATAAAATAGTTATTACATTCCTTTTATTGTAAAGTTCAATACAATATAAAGTCTACACATAACATCATTACAGAAATAAAATAGTTCTTACATTCCTTTTATGATGAAGTTGATATAAAGTCTACACATAACATCATTACAGAAATAAAATAGTTCTTACATTCCTTTTATTATGAAGTTGATATAAAGTATACACATAACATCATTACAGAAATAAAATAGTTCTTACATTCGTTTTATTATGAAATTGATATAAAGTCTACACATAACATCATTACAGAAATAGAATAGTTCTTACATTCCATTTCTGTAATGATGTTATGTGTAGACTTTATATCAACTTTATAATAAAAAAAATACTTTTTACGTTCCTCTCAAAGAAATATGCTGTAGCCCATAAACTTCTCTATTTCATTAGATAAAAGAAGCTAGGTAGGTTGGTGTTCAAAGAGCTAAACACTTTACTTAATAAGATAAAAGTAACTCTTACAATGATATCAATATATGTATATGTAGGTGTGTGAGCCACAAATGCTTCTCTGCTTAATTAAAGAAATATAAGTAGTTGTTACCAATATATGTAGATGGTATTGAGGCACTTTTAACTGATAGTGAAGATAATCCCACTGTTTGGTTAACATTAGCCATGTCAGCATGCTGAATTTTTCATTAGCTGGTTTAAATTATTGATGGCTATACCTGGAACTCTGACTTAGCTTTAACAGTAGTCATGTAGGTGTGAATTGTTGCTGACTCTCTCTTATTTGGTAATTGACATTATTGATGGTTACACCTTGAACTCTGACCTGACCTTAACACTGGTCATGTAGTTGTGATTTTTTGCTGAATCTCTCTTCTTAGGTAATCTAAATTATTGATGGCTATACCTGGATCTCTGACTTGGCCTTAACAGTAGTCATGTAGGTGTGAATTGTTGCTGACTCTCTTATTTGGTAATCTAAATTATTGATGGTTATACCTGGATCTCTAACTTGGTCTTAACAGTAGTCATGTAGGTATGAATTGTTGCTGACTCTCTTATTTGGTAATCTAAATTATTGATGGTTATACCTGGATCTTTAACTTGGTCTTAACAGTAGTCATGTAGGTGTGAATTGTTGCTGACTCTCTCTCTTGTTTAGTAATCTAAATTATTGATGGCTATACATGGAACTCTGGCCTGGCATTAACAGTAGTCATGTAGGTATGAATTGTTGCTGACTCTCTTATTTGGTAATCTAAATTATTGATGGTTATACCTGGATCTTTAACTTGGTCTTAACAGTAGTCATGTAGGTATGAATTGTTGCTGACTCTCTTATTTGGTAATCTAAATTATTGATGGTTATACCTGGATCTCTAACTTGGTCTTAACAGTAGTCATGTAGGTGTGAATTGTTGCTGGCTCTCTCTTCTTAGATAGTCTAAATTATTGATGGCTATACCTGGATCTCTGGCCTTGCAATTGAAGCTGTTTCAAAATGTTTCAGGTTGAAAATGCTATTGAAGCTATCTGTATAAGAAACACATAATTTAATTAAACAAGTATGTATTATTTATATCTTTGCAATAAATACATTTCATTCAAAACTTGTTTTTGTTATTTATCTAGAGAAATATACTACAATAAACATAATCCTTTACTTAGACACCTAACCTTCAAAATGTGCAAAAATCTGATATATATATATTTTATTAAATTAATTTCTGCATTTTCTATCTTGGTTTATAATATGCAGCAGGACAGCTATAGATATATTTTAATATAAACTTTCTAGATACCATCAATGTTCTTGAAGAAAGTTGTTCAAGATGAAGGAAGTTCTATTGGTCGAAATAAAAGTGCTGATCAGCCAATAGCAGGAGGAGATGCTTTGTTAAATGGATTTCTTCGAATCCATGAGAACTGTAAGAGTAACCTTTCCGTTCCACGTCGCTATGTTTCTTTTATTCACAATTACCAAGCCGTCTATTCTAGGAAGAAAACTGGAATTGAAAAAAGAAAGCATCATTTGCAGGTAAAAAAATTATCTGTTATTACTTACAACATGTTCAGTTGCAAAAACTGTTCTTTATAGTGTCATAGATTAACAGATAATGAACAAAGTTATCAAATTTTGTCTGTTTTAGAGAGTAGTATGCTGTATATGTATGATTAATCATATTGCACGGTTCTGTGAGAGTACGTTTCCTACACATGTAGCAGAAACTAAAAGTTAAAGACAGTTTTAGACAATGATATATTGTAGGTGTTGGTTGTATCATTAATCATGTTGCATGGTTCTGTGAGAGTACGTTTCCTACACATGTAGCAGAAACTAAAAGTTAAAGACAGTTTTAGACAATGATATATTATAGGTGTTGGTTGTACCATTAATCATGTTGCATGGTTCTGTGAGAGTATGTTTTTTTAGTTTCTGCTACATGTGTAGGTTTAAAGACAGTTTTAGACAATGATGTATTGTAGGTGTTGGTTGTACCATTAATCATGTTGCATGGTTCTGTGAGAGTATGTTTCCTACACATGTAGCAGAAACTAAAAGTTAAAGACAGTTTTAGACAATGATGTATTGTAGGTATTGGTTGTATCTTTAATCATGTTGCATGGTTCTGTGAGAGTATGTTTCCTACACATGTAGCAGAAACTAAAAGTTAAAGACAGTTTTAGACAATGATATATTGTAGGTGTTGGTTGTGTAGTACTTTTCCTAAACATGCACCCACATAATTTATTTTCAAAGATTGGAACTTGAGATTGTGCTTCATATGTAAACAAAACCAGTAAGTGTAATTTCTATTCTTTTAATGCTTTATTGTAAAAGTTCTATCGCTGGTGATGGAGGAGAATACATTCTATTTACTGTAATGCCCTAACTAATTTGATTATTAAATTATTATTTTGCTAATGCTGTTGTGTGATTTTGTAAGGTGTGAAATATTATTTAGTACCTACATATAAATATGCTGTCTCTCAGGCTGGTGTATCCAAGTTGAATGAAGCTAAAGCTTTAGTGGATAAGTTGAAATCAGAAGCTGGAGAACAAAGTCAGCTACTTGCTGAGAAACAGGCTGAAGCTGACAAAGCTCTGCAACAGATCACAACCAGCATGACTGTAAGTGACAAATCCTGCTTGTTTCTTATATAAACAAGTTTAATCATATTACTATCTATCTATAGTGAAAAAATATTTGAAACTAGTGTTTCATGGAAATAATTATACTACATAAGCCATGACTAGGTGGTTAGGGCGCTCGACTCGCAATCTGAGGGTCGCGGGTTCGAATCCCTGTCACACCAAAACATGCTCGCCCTTTCAGCCGTGGGGGCATTATAATTTAACGGTC